CCATCTGGATTAGCAGAATTCAATGGCGGCCCCGCCTCCCAGGATGGACCAAGACACAGACAAAGAAGCAGGAGGCCCCTGAGGGCCATCAGAGGCCGCCTCCCGGATGTGCCCTTCCCGACACCTGGGGTCGGTTCATTCTTTGGGTGCAGAGAACCATCAGGGGCATCAAAATCAAGGAGCCCGCCCACCAACAGGTGGCACAAGTTTCCCCTAAAAGATGATTCAATTTCCCTCAAATGTCCAAGGAAAATAAGACCTGGGACAGTTGGGTTTTGTCTTCTACTTATCGTCGTGTATCAAATCCAAGTTCTGCCCTCTGAGAAAAGGTCAGCGGTCATTTGATGCCAGGATCCACGCAGCTGACATTTCGGCAGGGCCCCAGATGGGACCGTTGGCAAACAGAAGTGTAGCTGAGGTTTGAGGATGAAACTCAGTGGGGCCGGACAGGGCCCTGCAGCCTGAGGCAAGCAGCAAGCGCTGGGCCTACCCGAAGGCAGGGACCCAGCCCCACTCCCGGCCTGCAGGGACGGAAGCCGCACACGACCACCCCCGAGTCCACATCGGCCCCCTCACCCAGACTCTTGCCTAGAAAGCTGCGACTGCACCAAACACCATGACAGCCCACACCAGGCCAAGTCACAGACCCCAGACTGCAGGGGAACAGGTGACTGAGCCCTCCCCAGAAACAGACGAAAGCTGGGACCCAGACACAGCCTCTGGAACCCGGGGTCCACCAGATGAGACCACGGCTGAGAAGGAGCCTGGCCTAGAGACTGGAACGGCAGCCACGGCAGGCAACCAACGCCGTTCAAGGTCATTCCAGGGGCAGCTCCAGAAAGGACAGGCACTGAGCCAACTGCGTGACTCCCAAGTTTAAAACCCTGGCCAGGGCTGGTGTTGGGGCGCAGTAGACTAATCCGCTGCTTGCGATGCCGGCATCCCATGTGGAACGCCAGTTTGAGTCCCAGTTGCTCTGCTTCTGATCCAGCTCCCTGCTAATTTGCTGAGGAAGGCAGCAGAAGGTGCCCTAAGTACTTGGGCCCCTGCCACCCAGGCAGGAGACCGAGATGGAGTTCCTGGCTTCTGGCTTAGGCCTGGCCCAGTCCCGGCCATTGCAGCCATCAGATAGATCTGTTCCCTCTCCTGCCTTCTGTGTGTGTGTCTTTCAAACAAATAGATCTTTTAAAAAATAAAATAAAAATAAAACCTTGCTCAGTCACCTTGAAAACACACCCAGACGCCACCACAGCCGGGCCCAGGTAACACAAAGGAGGCCCCCGTGCACAGCTTCTCCCCTGCGGTGTACAGCGGCACAGCCCCTCACGTGGCGCTGTCTGGATCCCCGCCGTTCTTCCCGCTGCACTCCCTGCCTCCCAGGGGAGCTCCTGAGCCCTTGGCAGAGCCCCCTTCCTCCCACCCTCGGACGAGCCGGCTCTCCCCACTCCAGCTTCTTTGGACGTCCCAGTGCCCCTGCATCCACTGCCGGCCCCCCAGGGCTCTGCGTGGCTGGGTAGAGAGGCCACACCCACACATCCTGTCCAGAGGACCCCATCCCCTCTGCCCATCACGTTTGCTTTTCCTTCCTCATCCGTGTTTACTATCAGTAATGAAGCTACTGTGACGGTCCTACTGTGACAGTCCTTGTTAACGGCTGAGCTCCACATGGGAGGTCGTGGCACCTCCTGTCCACTGCCCGGGTCCCCACTGCCAACCACCATGCCTGGCACAAAGAAAGGGCTGGGAGGTGTTTGCTGAATGAATGAATGCATGCATGCATGAATGATGCCAAGAGGCCAAAGACAACGTCACCTTTCATTTTGAGAAAGGAAAAACCAGCACAGGACCTGGTACGAGGGTCTGAGTTCAAATCCCAGGCCAGCTCCAGACCCCAGGGGTCATGACCTTCTCTCTAGAACTCAGTGCTTCTCAAACCTGAGCCACCTTCCTGGGCCCCCTGCCCCCAACCCTTACTCATTAGTGCAGCTTCTGGGAGCTGGCGAGGGGAGGATCCAGGAGAAAACTGTGAACAGCCCTGCCAGGGTGCTAATGATGTCTACAGGGACAGCCAGGTTCAGGATAAAGGGCAGGGCCAGGCCCATGGCTGTCCAAGGACTCTCCAGAGAACCTTCCAGATGCTCCTCCCAGGCTCCCACACCAGCTGCCTTCCCCTCAGAGCCAGATCCCTGACGGTGCCTGCATTCCTGGGACAGTTTGGGAGCATCGCTCTCTTCCCCGGAAGATCAGTCCCATTCGGGCTGGAACCAGCAATGCCAAATATGCTGTCCAGTGCCACCCAGGAACAGTGCCTGGCCCAGTGGGAACAGGAAAGAGTGAGGACCCACAGGTCCTTGGCTGTGGGACTTTTCAGAGCCCTCAGTTAACCAAGATGCTTTGAGGACCTCCAGGAGAGCCTCACTGGGCCACCTCTGCCCGGCCCAGCTGGGTCCTGGGACCCTGCACCCTGAGACGGCAGGCAGGGTCAGCACAGGGGAACGGTTGAAGCGCTTGGTTCTGCAGGAAGGCATGATATTGTCACGTGTCTTGGGGGTTAATCAAAGCCAACAGATAGGGCCGGCACTGTAAAGACACCACCTGCGGCGCTGGCATCCCAAATGGATAACCATCCAAGTCCTGTGAATGACCTAGGAAAGCAGTGCAAGATGGCCCAAGTGCTTGGGCCCCTGTCACTCATGTGGAAGACCCGGATGAAGCTCCTGGCTCCTGGCTTCAGCCTGGCCCAGCACTGACCACAGCAGCTACCTGGGGAGTGAACCAGCGGATGGAGGATTCTTTCTGCCTCTCCCTCTCTCTATAGCACTAACCTTAAACCTTAAATAATTTAGAAACAAAAACGTAAAAAACAGACAAGGATCTCATCCAGTGACTTCGGGCAGATCTGAACCAGGCCTTGACCCAAACTCGTCATTCGGAATTTATTTTCTGCCCCTTCTGCACCAAGCTGCTCACGTGCTTCTCCCCTTCTCCCCAGACACCTGTTCCCGGGAACTGAATGCCCCAAACTCACCATGGCCTATGAGCACCTCTCTGCCTGGGACGGCTGTCCGCAGGCCGGACCCAGACCACCTCCACAACACCTGCTCATCCTCGGACGCCAGTTCCCGGGAGCGCCCCGGCTCCCGTGTGCACTCGCAGAACTAAGCTCCTTTCCCACAGAGCACCCCCTTCTGTCACTCGCCCTCCCTCCGATAAATCATCATGCGTGTTGAATGACTTCACGAGTGTCTGCCCCCCTCAGAAGCCTGGGCGCTCCCCGCAACCAGAGGCGGAGTGGGGTCTGCCTCAGGTGTGCCCTCGGAGCCTGGCACATCTGTTACCAGGTCAGTGAACGGGGACACTGGCACTCCAGAGAGGTCAGGTGATAGCCAGAGGTCCCAAAGCCGCCGAGCGGCACAACCAGGACCTGAACCCAGGACTTTCTGACTCCAGGACCCAAGCAAGGCCCGCCCAGCTGCCCCTGGGGTCAGGACATGGGGTGGCCACTTAGCGCTGAGTGCCCAGGGCCCCATCCAGGCTCCGCCAGCACCTTCGTGGCTCCCAGCCCAAGAAGGTAGCAATGGGGGCGGGACAGAGCCCTCCCACCTGCCTGTTCCTGAGAAGCGCCAAGCCCTCTGCACGCCATCCAGGGGGACACAGAGAAATGAGGGAACAATGGCAGGTGCTGATCTTGGAAGGCAGCCTGGATCACGCCACCCTTATCAGCACATCTGACGGCCTCTCCACGAGATGCGGGTCTATAAAAATGAGACACAGCCTCAGCACCAGCAGCCCAGAGGCAAGAGCAGAAGGAGTGGCAGCTTCTGAAAACTTTGTCCCGTCCACTCTGTGCCAGGTAAGAACTCACTGCGTGGCATGCACGAGAGTGGAAACTGATCCTGGAACAAGCAGGGGACAGTGCCTGCCGGGACCCCTCGCTGGGGCTGACGCATTATCTGGTCCGGCACACACAGGCCACCTGCCTGCAGGGGTGGGGAGGCCTAAGACACAGGATAACTGATTACTGATTCTCCCAGAGATTTTGGTTTTTCCTTAAACTGTGCGCCGGTATCATGTGAGATGCTTAGTTCAAATTTCTCGCAGATGAGGGTAAAATGAGAAGACTGATGAAATTCTGACGAGGTTGCATTTTTTTCCAAAAAGCCTCATTTATATTCAAAGATGAACGGGGCCGCTGGCTTCAGAGTGTGTCCTGCCAGGCACTTCTGTCTGCCATGGTTGCCCTACTGGGGGCTGGCAGATGGCATAGGGATTGCTTCTGTTAATGTGTGCGCATGACAAGAGCAAACACCCATGACCCCGACGTCACAAACCCTGATGCAGACAAAAGGCGAAGGGGTGAGGAGACAGAGTCTGTGGGGTCCGTGCAGGGAACTGCGAAGGACACCCAGCCTCCAGGGCGCCCCTACTGTGGGCAAGGCACAGACTTCGGGGATCGCGGTGGTGAGGGAACAGGAGCCCACGCAGGGATGTGACCGCTGAAAGTCATCCAGAGGTGTCTTTGCTAAGGCAAGAGGGTGAGGATGTAACAGAAAGCCTGGGTTTGTGGGCAGAATTACAGGAGATGCTGCAGACTGCACAGTGCATGCCAGCTGCTCACTGAGCAGGTGTCTGGGATCATCCCAGGGCCGAGAGACCCGAGGTCGCAGCTGTGTGATTCAAAGCTCTCCAGTTCGCGAGCAGGTGACTAAGATGGCACCAAAGAGCTCTTCCTGAGGAGGATGGCAGGAGGATGGGCAGCCCGAGAGGGGACGCTGCGGGCAGGGGCTGGCACATTCACGCGGGGCTGGGAAAGCAGCAGAGAGGGGCCTTGGACGGGACCCTCACTACCAGGTGCTGCTGCACTTGCCTCCAGCTGCCCGGGAGTGGTGCCCTCCAGCGCCAGCCAGGGTACCACCCTGCACACACACACACAGCAGCTCTGGGCCCCACGGGGAACGTGGTGTCTGACGAAGCCTTCTTTGCAGGTGTCAACCACTAGGATGCTGACGCTCTGGGCCCTGGTGCTCACGCTGGGCCTGCAGGCCAGTGCACAGGACCTGCTGGAAGAAGCCCCAGGGATAAGCAATCTTCCTGTAGCTACCTTGCCCATCCCGATCAGTGCCCTCGAAGCCCTGCCACTCAGACTAGGCCCTAGACGACGCCCCCCAACACAAAGAGACTTTCTATCCAAAAAGCGTTCAGCCCCCAGCGGCAGCGGCAAGTGCATACCCGTGGCCGAGTACTTCCTGTCCAAAAGCAGACTCAATGACTGTAAGTAAGCACTGTTTTCCTACACGTCTTTCATCTGTCTACTCTCTCATGCAGCTGCTCAGGTTTTTATTTTAAGGATTTACTTATTTTATTTAAAAGGTAAAATGAAGGAGGGAAGGGGGAAAGAGAGAGAAATCAATCTTCCCTCCACTGGTTTATTCCTAAAATGGCTATAATGGCCAGGGCTGAGCCAGGCCCCAAACCAGGAGCCTGGAACTCCATCTGGGCCTCCTACACAGGTGGCAGGGCCATCCTCCGCTGCTTTCCCAAGTGCATTAGCAGGGAGCTGGATTGAAAGTGGAGCAGCTGGGACTTGAACCAGTGCTTCAATATAGGATGCCGGCACTGCAGGTGGCAGCTTAACCCACCGAGCCACGATGCCAGCCCCACGGCTTCTTATGTCTAAGCCGGAGGGCTTAGCTCCACCTTCTGAACAAGTGGCCCCCAAACATGAGGTGGCTCCACCATCACATTGGGAGCTTAGAGAGAGAACGGATTCCCGGGCCCGCCCCTCCCACACACTCAGGGGCAGCACTGCCTCCGTGGCTCTGGGGCCCTGCTTTCTGATCAGCTCCAAGCCCCTCACATAGGCTAGGACTGGACTAAGCCACCTCCGAGAAGGCAGCTCTCAGAACCTGCAGACTGTCTAACAACCCACTTCCGGTCTGATGCTTCTCACCTGGAGGCTGTGCCAGGAGACCTCCCCGCTTTTCACTGTGGGTCCTGGTGCTCCAAGCCCCACAGGGGCTTAGAACCTCACCCTGCTTTATCAGGAGCCAGGACATGGCAAATCCAGGCCCCACCGCTGCACCCTGTGACCAGCCTTGCTCTCTGCAAAGTCCTGCTTCACTCTCTCCCTGAGTCTCACCTTCCTCTAAGAGACGAAGGATCCTCGCTCTCCCAAAATCCCGCAGAGGCCGAGAGGTGACTCCCATTTACAGAACGGGAAGAGGGGAGGGGCCCCTGGCAAGTGGAGGCCTGCAGGAAAGCCCGCCCAGTCCCCTGGCTGCTGTCCGCGGTCAGGGCCCAGCCTAACAGATTACAGGACAGGGCGACAGATAGGGACATGGCACCTGTTGAGTGACCACATTCCTTGCCCCAAGGCAGACTGCTCAGCTTGTTACAAAACCTCCAAAGACAGACAGGTCCAGCCAGTGACCAAAATAACAGCCTCATGCCAGCACTCAATGAACCTGGTGCTGGTGCTGTTAGTTTCGTTTTCAGAATTAAAAACATGAAGGATAAACCGAGCATATACCCCTGTGCCCACCACCTCACTCAAGGCGTACAACGGCTCACTGGACAGCAGGTCCCCACCTTGCCTGCTGCAGCCTCTCCCTCCCCTCTCCCTCCCCTCTCCCTCCCCTCTTCCTCCCTCTCCCTCCCCCTCCCCCCCCTCCCAGGAGGTCTCTACTCCACTGTTTTTCCCCAGAGATCTCTTTGTCATTTATGACACAAGTCACTACCTGTTGCGAAGTCTCTGGGAGGTGGCCTGCTTTCCTGGTCCCTCGGGCTCCAGTCTGGGAGGCGATGCATCCGTGTAGATGAAGCCAAGTCTCCCCTGTTCCTTCTCAGGAACAGGGAATCACACACGGGGATACGAGCGTCCACTGTTGGCTCCTCCACTACTTCCCCCCACCCCCCCACCCCACCTTATGCTTTGTTCAGCACCTGCAATCTGCAGTCATCTCCTTTTTTTACTTTTATTTATTTTTATTTATTTATTTTTTTACAGGCAGAGTGGACAGTGAGAGAGAGAGAGAGAGAGAGACAGAGAGAAGGGTCTCCTTTGCCGTTGGTTCACCCTCCAATGGCCACCGCGGCCGGCGCACCGCGCTGATCCAAAGGCAGGAGCCAGGTGCTTCTCCTGGTCTCCCATGGGGTGCAGGGCCCAAGCACTTGGGCCATCCTCCACTGCACTCCCTGGCCACAGCAGAGAGCTGGCCTGGAAGAGGGGCAACCGGGACAGAATCCGGCGCCCCGACCGGGACTAGAACCCGGTGTGCCGGCGCTGCAAGGCGGAGGATTAGCCTAGTGAGCCGCGGCGCCGGCTGCAGTCACCTCCTTTATCATTCTCCACACACCCCATGCACCAGGTTCCAACAAGCACTCCTTGGACAGGGGCAGAGACTGGGGCTCCAAGGGGAGAGACCTGCCTCAGGCCACTCGGCCCCAAAGGGATACACCAGAAGCGTGCCCTACCCTGCTGGGCTCAAAAACCAATCGAGGTCCCTTTGCTCCATGCCAGGATGGCTTCAGATGTAAGGCACTCAGCGCCAGGCCGGCCTCAGCAAGCACTAGTGAGCGTGAGCTCTTAACAAGGGGCCGGGCCTCTTGCTCTAACGCAAGGCTGCCGGTGGGGTGGCGGCAGCAGCAGGGGTGGGGGCCACTACACGCACCTCTTGTGGGCCCCATGCTTCACAGGGCTGGGCTCCCGGGCAGGGGAGGGTCCGCTGACAGCCCGCAGCAGGAAGCTGTCGCTCTGCCCTTTCCAGATCTCAACAACACCCTGCCCGCGGAGATCGAGAAGCTGTTCAAGTGTGAGCAGGTCAACCTGGTTGGTGTGCTGGGCACCTTGGTATCCACGCTGAGCACCTCCAACCTGCTCTCTGCGCTGGACCTCGGTTCCCTCCTGAGCATGGGAGGCGGTGGCCTCGGCGACATTCTAGGCAAGGGAGGCAGCGGCAACTCCCAAGGCCTGGACCTGCTGGGCGGCCTGCTGCCGCTGGGAGATGAGGGGCTGGGCGGCCTGCTGTCTGGCAAAAAAGGCAAAGGGACTCTCAAGGGGCTCCTCGACGGCACCGGGCTCTCCAGTCTCCAGCAGCCGCTGGACGACGTGGTGGGCAAAGTCACAGAGCTCAAGGAGTCCACCAAGAACGTGGTGAACAAGGCCCTGCCGCCAGATGTCAGCAACGCCCTCTCGGGCCTGCTGGGAGGCCTGGACCTGAACGAGCTGCTGCTGGGGTAAGCGCTCCCCTCAGCCCGCCGTGCCTGGCAGCAGGAGAGCTCCAAGCTGACAACCCCAGCAAGAGGGGCAACCCCTTTTCACGAAGCCATTCACCAGCTCCAGCTGAACCCGTGCCCAGGGGATGGGGTGGGGGACATGTTCCGGGTTCCTTGAGCTTATACATATGGGCAGGGATGGGGCTGGGGACCCAGGAAATGGGCAGTGGCAGGTAGAGTCTTACCTGGCTGCTTCCCACGTGAGTCCCCTGAGGTCCAGGCTGAATGCTGGCACCAGGGCAGGCTCCCGATGCTGTCCCTTTGCAGACTACAGGTTCAGGAGGTGACTGTGGACAGCATGAACTCAACCACGGCCAAAGATGGGATCCACATCCTTGCCACAACCACTACTGTCATAGGCGGGAAAGGGTAAGTCCGTTTCCATGGCAGCCCCCTGGGTCACCCTGGACTGGGGCTGGGAGGTTTGGTGTCCACGGTCCCCTGGAAGAACAAGGGCACAGCGACAGCACCCACAGCAAGGGCCAGGCAGGAGAAGGGCCTGGAGGAGCCCCATCCTCTAACCACGTCAGCAGAGATGTTCAGGGGGAAATCTGCCCAAGCCCACACGAGGGCAGTGAGGGCCGACACTGCTGAGAACATGGCCCACTGTGACGCTGCCACTGCACTCACGCAAAGGGGACTGTCCTGATGCTCTGGACACCCCAGAGAGGATCGGCCCACGCCAGCATTAGAGGTGGTCCTTGGTCATCACACAAGGAAGGAACAGGCCAACACGTGAGCTCAGGGCACACAGGAAGACATCAGAGAGCCAGGGTGCCCCCACTTGGGGGAGGATGGCTGTGCAGTGCCAACCCCCCTCTCTCATACCTGTCTACCAACACACAGAACCTGTGTCCAGCCTCGACGGACGAGAGCAGTCCAAACCTCACTCAAACTCACCCTGCAGGAACAGGGCTCAAACCCAGGCAGTCTATGACACTGCTGTCACCCATGCCAGGAAGACCCAGCTGTCCAGTCCAGAACCCCGTGGTGGGGTTCCTTCTGCTGCTGCCCACATGACAGGAAGCCCCAGTGCTGGGCACAAAAAAGAACCTAAAATGGATGGCTTGGGGCCACAACAGAGGACGTGCAATGCTGCTGGGGGGAGGGTTCTGTGTCCTGCCGTCTGACTGCCAAGCACGCGCGGGGCGGCCAGCCACAGGCCATGTCCACTGGAGAGCACCAAACATCCCCTCCCTGACGCCTTTTCACAAACACATGCGCCCAAACTACAAAGGGCCTGTGGCTAGCTCAGGCTCCCTGCTCACCCATGTCCTGCTCTCCACAGCCTTGTCGGACCCGTCATCAGCCTGGTGGGATTCCACGTGTACGCAAACGTGACCCTGACTATTGGCATTTCCACAAATGACACCCAGTGCGTCAACCTCCAGGTCCAGAACAAAGACATCCAGGTCAACAAAGTGACCCTTCAGATCGTAGAAACGTACGTGAGCCCGTTTCCAGCCAGCCTACGGGTCAGAGCGCCCACCCTGCACCCAGGGCGGCCCCGGGGCCGACTCCGCCCAGCGCAGCGCTGAGAAGCAGCAGTACACAGAGGCCGGTGGTGGGGTGGCGGCTGGGAGGGGCCTCCTCGCGCGCCCGCCTTCTGCCTGCTCGCTGTACTGCGGTCATCCACTCTTTCTCTGCGTGAGCAGCAGTCACCTGGACAGAACACAGAGAACACAGAAGGGCCATGGAGCCCAGAGTGTCCCTCGCACCTGCGCCAGCCTACTGACCACTCACCCTCCCCGGAAGCAACCAATGCCTCCAGTCCCCTCTGCTTGCCCGTTGCACATGCTCGTAAAATGTTCACACTCAGGAAGACGCAGAGCTGCCGCCCGCCTTCCTGCACTTGGCTTCGCCTACAGAAAGTGGCCGGGACACGGTTCCGCCGCGTACAGACGGCCTCTTCTGTGGTCACTCCCCAGTCCTCCCTTACCAGGTGGCACCATAATTTACCCAGTCCCTGACCCGGGTCTTGGCTTCTGTACCCACCTACAGTGAGCGAGGTCAGACGAGTGAGCCTGCGCCCTGCTCTTGGGAATGAGAATTCCTGCGGGCCACACAGCAGGCCCAGCCGTCCTGTGCGCGGGTCGTGTTTCCAGGGGCCCTGGTGTCTTCCATAACAGCTGGCGATGAGACGGGAAGAGCTCAGACTTCACCGCGGCTGTCTCCTGGGCGGCAGGGCTTTGCCTGAGGCCTGAGAAGTCCGCAAAACACAGGACTCATGCACTCCCCACACGTGTCTTTCTCAGGATCACGGACGTTTTGCCTGTGCCTGTCCCTGTGCCCCTGGGCGACGTGGTCACTAAACTGCTGTCAGTGGAGTTGAATCAGAATGTAAGTCCCAGGAGGGCAGAGGGGCCCGGGGAGGTCTGTGGCACTGGGCGCGGGAGGGTGCGAAGGGTCCTGCCCTTGGGTCCAGCCTGATGCCACAGAGGCCCGGGCCAGCTGGAGTCCCAACCCCAGGGACTAGCAGGCCCGACAGTGCCTCCGGCTGGGGAAGGAATGGTCTCCAATGAGGAAGCCGAGAGAACAGACAGGAAAAGGGGAAGGAGGGCAGGCCAAGGGGGCGTCCTCAGCAAAGCCGACCCCTGCTGACCTCCCAGGTGAAAGAAGCGGACTCCTGTGACATCGTTCTCAGTGGCTTCAATGACTGCAAGAACTGTGAGTAGCAACACCCACCCCCGGGGCCGCCCACGCCACATCCGGGGACAGAGGGCCCAGGCCCCTTAAGGGATCCCATCGGGTGACAAGCCACAGCTTGCCCACTTCCCAGCCCCCAGCACCCTTCCCAAGCACCCTCGGGGCAGCAAATGCCTCAACTAACTGTCTCCTCCAGGCCATTTCCACTGCTCCCCAGGAAGGGAACAGGACAAAGAGCCCCCAGCACCCTCTGTGGGCAAAGCACACCCAAGTGTGGAAGCTGAGTGAGGGCCTGTCCTAGGCTCTAGTGCCTGGCAGCCCAGAATCAGGCAATCCCTCCCTGTTCGCAGACACGCACCAACTAAAAGGGAGGAGAGGACCAGCCGAGACAGCTGAGGCAGGGGATGGAGCCCCTGCCGAGCCCCAGGGTAGACGAAACACAGGGCTCAGCTTCCCCGTGGGGCTCTGGCACGTCTCGGGAGGGCCTGAGTCCTCCTTCCAGACGCGTGAGAAGTCAGCTGAGGGTACCCACTTTCTGCCTAGGACCTGGAGAGTGAGAGCGTGCCCGACCCGTGGTGGAGGGTGGCACAGGGACACGCCGGACACAGCAGCCGGCAGCGCCTCACCTCACTGTGCTCGCCCTGCCTCTCCTCTCCCCTGCAGCCACCGGCCTGTTCCGGTACCATGTGAGGGCGGCCCACTTCTCCCCCGAAGGCCTCTCAATCTTCTACTGCGTGAGTGTTCTCTGCCGCAGGGCCGGCTTCTGGGCCAGGAGCTAAAGGCATCCCTGAAGCGGCACAATGCCGAGGACAGCCCAGCCGTCATCCCGCACCTTTCCCTCAGTGGGGGATCCTCTAGGCTTCCCCACACTCCCAGCGCCTACCCAGAGTCTGCCATGGGTTCTGCTCCATTTACATCCCACGTACGATGCCCTCAGAGGCACTCCCGACAGTGACCACCACACCTCAGGCACCAGACCCGCAAAGCCCATGTCCAGACACTGCAGGGACAGCACAGAAGCAACCAAGGGTGCTCACTCACCCATGCCCCTCTTCGCCACCAGGAAGACAAAACCCAGGCTGCAGATGGAGCTGAGAAAGGCAATGTTTTAGGCTCGGGTAGCTTTGCTTCCAGGAATCCATCCTAAGCACAGACAGACATGACTCGTGGTGAGATCAGGGGAAAGGCTGAAACAAACAAAAAGGAAATACCAAAGCCAAGTTCGAGATCGACCCCAGGCTTACAGTCTGCGGTGCTATACGGATATGCTCGTGCAGGCACTGGTGAGATTTCCAAGGTGAAAGCAAACTGAAATGCAGAACGCGTGCACACGTGCGGAAATGCCAGGGTACTGTGTCCCCTCACCTCCCTGCGTCTTCTAACTCCTGCCACGCGGGGTTTGCATTGCATAAGCAGAGGGGGAAATGCGTATGAAAGAAAAGGAGCTAATGAGTGGAAGGCAGAGTATCTGTGACACGAGCTCTTGAGAACCTGGCCTTTGACATGTGAGAGTGAGGATGGAACCGGTTTCTTCCGGACTGGGAGAGGAGGCAGGGAACAGGAAGGGGTGTAAGCTGTGCAGGGCACACACATCTGTGCACACACGCCCACACCGACACACACACCCTACTGGGGACAGCATAGGAACAGGAGAATTCACCTGGACAACAAGCACTGTGGCTTCCCGGGGAAAATGAAAGGTCGGGCACCCTGCGCCACGCTGCGCCGAGCGGCGATTCCTCTTCCACCCACACTCCTGCTCGCCAGTCTCCCCAACCCCGCCACTGCCCACACTCACTCAACGTGGAGGCCAGGAGGTCCCCTGCTGCGGCAACACGCACCTCACCCTGCACCTTCCCAGCTAAGCCCCCAAAGCCAGGAGGCATGTGTCAGTCTCACGGGATGCCCGCGGTGGTCCTGCTTGTGTCTCTGCAGGCAGAGGCCCTCTTTGACAACAAGGCAGTGCCCGTGCGCGGAAGACTGCTCCCTCCACACCCTAAGAGCGCCAACGTCTCCCTGACCCTGTCGCGCACGCTGCTCGACGCGCCAGCGGAGCACATTGCTAAGCAGAGCACCTTCAAGGTGAGTGTGGGGAGCGGGGCTTCCTCACCGCTGACCCGAGCGCCAGTGTGGCCGAGCCGGGGGATCCTGGTCGCCCTTCCAGAGATAAAGACGCCGAACGAGGGCGATACCGGTCCCTTACGGGTCCTGCAAGCGGGAACGTGTGGAGGCTCCCTGAGCGCCAGGCTCACAGCCAGCTGTCACTCCACCGACCGAGGGCGCTCTGAGGATGCTGGCGGTCTTACCCGCTTCACAGAGGGCCTGAGTGCGGGGTGACTCTGCCAACAGCCTCAGCGGGAGCAGGCAGGGCGTGTAGCGGCGTGCGAGGTGCTCCGACGCCAGCCCGAAACCTCACAGAAGGGAGGGACGACGCGAACAGGCACTGCTCTCCCTGTGCCGGGCTCTCTGGGAAGCAACAGCCCGTGTGTCCTGTGCACGGTGTCCCCAAATCATCAGCCTAGCGCTGCCTGGCCACAAACAGGATTGGCTGTGACAGAAACATGGAACTCCACATGTCACGTGCCCAGCCACCCTCCAAGAAAGGAAAATGGGCAGACACAGACCCTGCCAGCTCCGCGCCCAGCTCAGACTCAAGGGCCAACACTGGAAGACGGGCACAGCCCTCGAGGGCCCCAGGGTGCAGCCTTGTTCCCCAGCTCTAACCCAAGACTTCCTCACAACAGATCGACAACCTGGAGGCAAGCATCACCAGAATCCGCCGGGGGTACCAGAGCAACGACACTTCCCAGGTCACCTACTGGAGCAACATAAAGAAGGATGGCGAGAGCTTCGCCACCGGGGAATCGGTGAGTGCTGAGAAACGGGTCACGGCCGAGTGGGGAGGAGGCAGTGCGAGGAGCCGTGCTCCACCAAAGTCCCCAGGACAAGAAGCCCAGCCAGGCAGCCTGGGGCCTCCGCCCCACGACGGGAGAGCTCGCAGGTGCACAGCTATGGACCCCACTGGCCGTGTTGGCTGAAGAGAGTCAAGGTACTGTGTCTCACCCACGCCCCCTTGTGTTCACTCAGAAATTGACCATCTGGCATGACAGCAAGATTTCAAACGACAAGCTGATATCAGAGGTCAAACTTGTAAGGTACTGTCCGTGACGACACGACCCTCCCGCAGCCTGAGAGGCAGTACGAACCCAAACCAACCCAAAGTGCATGAGCTCAGCGCCACACACGGCTCTCGGGAGGCGCGGGGGGGGACGACGGGGAACTCAGTCGGCAACTCCCACGCCGTCGCCCGCCTTACGTTTGCCCTGTGCGCCTCTGACTGCTAAGCGGCTGACTTACGCCGAGAAGCCACCGGGACAGCACTGCAGCTCCACAAGCGAGAAGCAACCTTCCCTGAACCTAACGGCTGTCTGTGCTTTCTTTCTTGACAGATCTGATTTCAAGGTGACACCGCCTGAGGCTGTAAGTTGGTGTGGTTTATGGTTTATTTACCTGTGACTGGCGAAAAATGACGTTCATGCCAGGCGCTTGGTGACATGGGGACTCTGGAAAGAAGGGCGTGCGTCTCACACCCCAGATGCAGTGAGGAGTAGGACTGCGGTCCCAAACCCCAGCTCTCTTTGGGAGCTGCCCAAGCCCACTGCAGAGTTAGTTACACAGTCAGCGACCAGAGAAGGGCTCCAAGTCCGTGCTTGGAGGTTTCCAGGGAGCCAGATACTCCAGCAGGCCTGGGGATGCCCTGGAAGAATGACAAGGCTTCCATGAAGTAGGAATGTTCTATGATACAAGCACGTGGTGGCTCAGCAGAGAGACTGGGAGAGGTGAGGGCAGGGCCCAGGGCCCACGGTCCACCACAGAGATGATGGAGAACAGAAGGTTCACCAGCCAACCTCATGCTTAAGCCTGTTCATACCTCAGTTCGTGTTTAATGAGCACCTACTATACACCCAGCTCTGCAATGCAACATGAAGTAGGGATGAGGGACAAAGCACTAAACTCCAGGAACTGATACCCAGTGTGTGCCCAATAGGGGCATAGAAACACAAAAATAGGCAAAAAGTATTAGAAGTCTGGGAGCCATACAACAAACACCCAGAAGCAAACAACCTCATGGCTACGGATTTAGAACCAGGTTCCCCATGCCAGCCCTGAGATCACGAGCAGTCGCTCAGGAGGCAGACCCTGGGCACCGCCACAGCCCAGTGTTCCCTGCATCCCACGAGGCTGGGCAACACTGACGGGCCAGGCTCTGTGCTCAGCAGAAGCCACTTGAGCAAATCCTTGGCCACGTGAGTGAGGGAAAGGGAGGAGAGACGAGACCAGGGAGGGCCTCACGTCTACCGCACAGGAGTCAGCAGCACCCCAGCCTCAAGGCCAGGGAGCTGTGCCACTGTCCCTGTAGCAGTGTCTCACACATACCAGGAACCCAGTGAACCTCTGTTCAGGGAGCCACTTGAGGCAGCACAACCAGAGGAAGTCTTTGCAAAGCCCCAGGGGATGCAGGAGGCCCACGTCCCCACTGGCCTTGCCCAGCCACACTTTGTTACAGAAACCCCTTGCGGGTAGGAGGCTCTGAGACCGGCAGGGTAACTACCAGAAGGTATTGATGAAAAGGCCCCTCTCGCTTCTTGCAGACAGACGAGGTGCGAAATGTGATGAAAGGACAAGAGAAGAAGTTCTGGTCTGTCCTTATTGGTATGTGCAAGTAATAACCTGAACCCCTAGGAGAGTCAGGGTGTGCGCCAGGCTGCAGAGGCCTTGGCAGCCCCGAGCCCCAGATCACCCACCCCGAGCTGCGCCATGCGTACTTTTCTGTCTGTAGAGGGGGGCAATAGCATCTAGAGATAGCAAGAAAAGAAAAAAGAAGAAAGAAAGAAGTGAAAACGAAATCAGAATGCCTCTTCTACAGCCCCTAAAGAAAGCCAGACCACTCAGTGTCATCAGGGCCAACCCCGGCACGCCAGGAGGAAACACAGACCCAGTCGCCAGTCAGACACTGCAACTTGGAGAAATTCAGGCGGCTGAGGTCACAATGCTCATGACCAACAAGGACGATGGTGTCACCTGCCATCGGCACATGTTTCTTTCCTAGGGGGTTCAGAATGGCTACCTCTTATGGGGGCCTCAGGTGGAGAGAACAGACAGCCACCTTCTGACTTGGCATAGAATCCTAGCCAAGTTTCTTCCTGGTTCTGAAGTCTTGTCTTCCTTGCCCCCCCAGGCTAGGAGTCTGTTCACTGTGTGAAACAGACAAGGGCCAGATTTCTCCTGAAGCCACCTACTGCCCAGAGATCCCTCCAGTAGACGCCGGCCCAGTTACTGTCTGCAATTTGTTGGCCTAAGATAGTCCTTCTTTTTTCAGAAATTTTGAAAGCATGGAATATACCAGCAGGAGTAACCTCAAATCCTCTGAACAATGCCAAGGTTAACGTGACTCAATCGGTAAGAGAGAAACACGATTATTTTCCTTTTGCATCGACGCTCGCTCTGTGCTTGCACCTGTGGAGAAGTGAACGGGTCCGGTGGGACCGGGCACCATGGTCTGTCCTGGGTGCCCGACAAGCTCCACCAGATCTCCCCACTCCTGCCCAGGCAGAACCGTTACCCTGTCCCTCTCAATCACCATAAAATCCCACCTGAGACAACGAGCCCCTAGCTGATCGATGATCTGTCCCACTGTCACTGTGAGGACTCTCCCACTTAGCTGAATATGGAAACCTGAATATGGTTTCCATGGAAACCTCTGTGCCTGCACCCCCACCCCCACCCCCACCTTCTGCCTTGCTGGAGCCTCTCCTTGCCGCCCATCCTCAGACGACCTTTCTGCTTGTCTAACTCTGAACCCAGACAACATCTGAAGGAGGATGTGCTTCCTGAAAAGCAGCTACAAGTCAGATTTTTATTCAATTCTGTCACAAGTGGAAGATTAAAGGTTGCAGATGGAGCGGGGAGGGAAGCTAAGGTGTCAGAAGAGCCAGGTGGCGCAGTGAGGGGCGTGCCAGCCTCGTAAAGAGGTTCGGCATGCCCAGGGCCCTGAGATGCTGCAGTCCAGCGAGATCTGCTCCATGACCTTGCAACCTGCCCAGGAAGTGGCCATGTCTTTCATCCAGGCTCACACTTCACAGGCTGCACATCCTTACCTTGACGTAACCCCAGGTTTCTGTGTGTTTCTGCGGCCAAATCCGTGACTACAGCGTGCACTGGGCTAACACCGGCAGGTGCCAGTCCCCCACCTCCAGCTCCCACACTCTGCAGCCGTGGGTGGCCTGGGACACACTACGTAAGCCCTCAAGTCAGCCTTGAATCAAGGGGTTAGAGCAGATGAAGGCCGGCAGCGCTGCAGCTGCAAGCGACGGGGGCCCAGCCGCACTGCTTCATGCAACAACAATAAGACGAAGCGGCCTGGAATCCAGGGATGGCGCTCAACAGCAGAGTGACCTGAGTCAGGGTCGACGATGACTCGAGATTCAGTCACTCGGCTCTGCTATTTCTGGATGGAGTCTGGGAGGCTCTGCATGGAAGGCCCCAGCTACCAATTCTTTCCCCAACAGCTCAAACAACGGTCACCCGGAATTAGCCTGAGACTCCCAAAGGCCTGACTTGCTCCATGCCCCACCTATGAAGCCAGCACTGAGCTCAGGCGGGTGGGGTGCACGGGCCTACCCAGCCTGTGCCGGCAGCCGGCTGACCCGTGTGTGTGTGCCTAACTGGTTGTTCTCTGTCTCCCCACAGAATGATCTTCAGGCGGCAAACTGAACCCAGCACACTCAGAGCCAGGCAGTGTCCCAGGACGAAAGCAAAAACCGCCTGTGAAACTTTCCTGTGAAACACTGGGCATGCAGCAAGGAACCAAGTAGAAGTAGCATTCTTAGAATGTCAAGTACCCTTCTGACTTTTGCCAATTACCATCACAGACAGGCAAAAAGTCAGGGATGTTGGCATTTCTGTAATCAGCTCTTTAATAAATGAACTTTTTTCATGCAAAACTTGTCTCATTTGTCTTCAGTTCCCGTGGACAGGAATGTCTTCATATGCTTCATATGCTTATTGCTAGTCAGAGAACTTCTTGCTTTGCACACAGAAATCCACCACATGAATGATGAACTTACCTAATGTGCTAGGTCCCCGGACCACCATGACAATGATTCAGACTTTTCTTCTTGGGAGCCCAGCATTGTGGCACAGAGGGTTCATACCCCAGCCTGCAGTGCCTGCAACTCATATGGGCGCCCGTTCCAGTCCTGGCTGTTCCATTTGTGGTCCAGCTCCCTGCTAACGTGCCTGGGAAAGCAGCTGAGGACGGCCCAAGACCTTGGGTCCCTGCACCTACATCGGAGACCCAGAAGAAGCTCCTGGCTCCTGGCTTCAGATCGGCGCAGCTCCGGCCGTTGCGGCCATCTGGGGAGTGAAGGAAGACCTCTCTCTGTGTCTCTGCCTCTCTCTGTAACTCTGCCTTTCAAATAAATTTAAAAAAAAATATATATATATATATATATATATGTATGTATATATATATATAGTGACAGACAGAAGGAGGGAGGGAGATCTTCCATCCACTGGAAGATTTACTCCCTAAATGGCCACAACAGCCAGGGCTGGGCCAGGCTGAAAAGAAGGAGCAGGAACTCCATTAAGGTCTCCCGCGTGGGTGACAGGCACCCAGGTACTTGGGCCAGCAGCACTTGCAGGAAGTGGTGCAAGTGGTGGAGCAACCAGAACTGGAACTGGTGCTCTACTATGGAATGCCGACACCACAGCAGGGGTTTAACCCCCTGTGCCACAAGGCCAGCCCCTACGTGAAAATCACACAGGGTCTAGACTCCAGCTTCCCATGTTCAACAATGAGGGGCACAGTCCAAAGACTGAAGCTGAAAAGGGCACGGCAGGTAGAAGCAGGTGTGTGACATCGTGAACCAGGCAGCAAATGATCCAGGTGCCAGGCCAGTGACTACAGGCTCAGCTAGGAGGCTGTGAGTAGAAAGCCAAGTCAGTCGATGCAAACCAGTAAACGCAGAGAACTCAGAATGCAGACAAGAGGGATGCTGGGAATACAACGGCTGTCTCTCTCCCAGGTAGAGACCATCTGCCCTCCAGTGTCTGCACAGTACACCTGCTCTGTCACTAGAAGAGCTCAAATTCTGGACACAAAAGACCAGGTAGGAGAAGGAGGGCCAGAGACTGGGCCTGCCTTACAGCAGGGGCAGTGTACCACAAAATGAAGGCCAAATCACACTATAACCTTTAGCTATTTACTCAAACCTAAAGTCTTGGTCTCTGCAGGCTGGTATTTGCAATAGTAGATACCACTATGGTAAATAACAGCACAGCCCACCCAGCTTTCCCAGACACTTGGGAGTCACCTCGATACCTCCATCTCTCTCATCGACAGACCAAGTCCTGCTGATTCTACCCGCAGTGCATCTCTCCAGGCCCCCAGTTTCTCTCCTTTTCTATCACCCCCCGCCCTTTTTTTTACAGATTTTTTTTTTTTTTTTTTTTTTTGAAAGACAGAGTTACAGAGAGAGGAAGAAGCAGACAGATATCTTCCAGTCTCTGGTTCACTTCCCAAATGGCCACAACAACCAGGGCTGGCCAAGGCTATGCCAGACCAAAGCCAGGAGCCTGGAGCTTCTGAGTCTGCCACGTGGGTACAGGGGCCCAAGCACTTGGGCCATCTTCTGCTGCTTTCCCAGCACATTAGCAGGGAGCTGAATTGCAAGGGGAGCATCCAGGACTCGAACCAATGCCCGTATGGGAGGCCAGCAGCACAGGCATCGGCTCTACCCACTACGCCACAATGCCAGCCCCTCCCTTTCCATTCTAGTCCATGCCAACATCGTTCATTCATCAGAGCTACTGGTCTGGCTTGCAGCCAGCAATCTATGACCCGTTTATAAAACATCTATTTTTCTTACTTAAAAACCTCCAGGGATGGGCAATTGCCTACCAGCCACGACGTCACCAGCCCACATCAGAGAATCTGGCTTTGAATCCTGCTCTCAGCAATACCCAGCCCCCACAGCATGGTACTCACCAAACTCCTGTGACATCCTGCTCGAACACCCCAAAGCAGATGAAGCCCGCATCCTGATCCGGGGTGAGTGGGCCACTTGACAGCCGACTCCGGTGTCTGCTGACATCTTCGTGACACAGTGAGGGACACCGCTGGACTGGATGGAGGTCAACAGCAGTGGGGCTTTCCTCCTGCAGGTGCTCAGTCACAGCTCCACACAAGCCTCTAAGCATCTCCTCTTGGGACGGGAAAGGCCTGTGTTTTGTGCAGGTCTGGCATCTGGTGGCAGGAGGCTTGTTGGGTGAGGCTTACAACATGACAAGGGCACTCACAGTTCTAGAATTCTAGAAACATTTTTGTTTCTAGACATGAAAAACACACGTAACGGAGCCAGGAATGTATTCCTTACATCGGTGGAGAAGGAGCAAGCTAGTGATCAGGGCACACCCGGCTCCCCAGCAAGTTCAATTCCACACCTGTTTCTAGAAGCGGGCTTTTTTTTATGGGAAAAGAAAACAGCAAGTAAGTTACTCTCCCTAGCAGGTCAGGTGTCCTGCATGACAGGTGACACACAGTGAGTGTTCAGCAATGACAGACATGGCAGGCGTGGTGACGTGGCTAAGACCCTTCCTCCTTTGATCCTGATTTCTTCTGCAGAGGCTGCTCACACAGACGGCAGATGAAGTGGCTGGCCAGGCTGACCAGTGTTGATCATGTAAGCCCCAATCCCCAGTAAAAACAAGAAGCGGGGTGAAGAGCCATAGTGACGTTCTGTTCAGAAGATGGCTCTGAGGGCAGATATCATCACGCAGGGCTGAACTGGCACCCGAGGAGGAGGCGCCCACGGGCTGTCACACAGAGCTGATGGGGACCATAGTGAGACACACAATGACACCCTCAGCAAGCGTGGGCGTCTGGTGCAGCAGCTAAGACACCACTAGGGATCCTCCATCCAGTACCCTAGTACCTGGCTCTGCTCCTGATTCTGGCTGCCTACTCACGCAAACTCTGACAGCTAACAGGTATTAGCTCAAGTAGTTGGGTCCTGGCCACTCATGGGGGACCTGGATTCAGTTCCAGGCTCCTGGCCCAGCCCTGGCTGTTTGTATTTGGGGAGTAAATCAAGGAACTGGAATGTCACCCCCCACCCCCCGTGTGTGTGTGTGTGTGTGTGTGTGAGTATGTGCGCACGTGTGCCTCCACCTCTCTAATAAAAATGTTCCTTAAAATTGTTTTTTTACTTTTTAAATATAAGCCTCAGTATATCCTAATACATAATCTTTTTTAGAAACAAAATCTTTCACAGATCACTCCCATTTGGTGAGTGCTTACAATGTTCTATGGTGAATCCTTCCCATGGATAACCTCGTTGAACTCTATATGACCTAAGGATTTTATTAATACTGCCATGTCGGGGCCGGCACTGGCATGCAGCGGGTTAAAGCCCTGGCCTGAAGCACCAGCATCCCATATGGGCGCCGGTTCTAGCCCAGGCTGCTCCTCTTCCGATCCAGCTCTGTGCTAATGGCCTGGCAGGGCAGTTGGGGATGGTCCAGGTCCTTGGGCCCCTGCATCCACCTGGGAGACCAGGAAGAAGCACCTGGCTCCTGGCTTTGGATCGGCACAGCTCAGGCCATTGCAGGCCATCTGGGGAGTGAACCAGCGGATGGAAGACCTCTCTCTTTCCCTCCCTCCCTTCCTCCCTCCCCCCCCCTCCCCGGTTCTACCTCTCTCTGAAACTTTCAAATAAATAAATCTTTAAAAAAAAAAGTAAAGCAAGAGCAATTAAAAAAAAAATACTGCCATGTCCTACATGAGGCACTGAGAATAAAGCAACTACTGAAGTTCACACAGCTTTTAAGCAACGGAGCAGGGACTTGAGAGTGCCTTGAGAGTGCCCTGGCTCTAAATATCCCGTGCTGTCATCTCTTGGGTTTTTTTCCCACGATGCCTACAGAATAAAATAACTGTGGTAGACAGTGGGCGGGAAACCACTGCTCAGAGCCTATTAATGGGCAACGACACTTTCTAAGGCACCAGGTTCTCCCAGATCCAAAGGCAGAGAGTGAAACAACAGGCTGGACAAGAGGAAATCCTTTTGCAAAATATACAGAATAAAATGAGGTGATGGGCAGCTGAGTCAGCACATCAAATGAAAATATTAGTCAAATACAGAGCAGTTTTTCCTGAGCAAAGGGCTGTCCACACCTTTCCCTCCTCGGTGTCTGCCTCCTGGGATGCAGGGGAGACGAGCAGACAGGTGAGCAGTGTCTGCAGCAGAGACGGCGCTGAGAAACCCAAAACACAGTACCCAAGGCAACAATGCAGTGAAAGTAGAGACAAAGGAGTGTTTCCACTTAGGTGAATTTAATGACTGGAAAAGCTGTTCACATAGCAGGAGATGCGTTTTCCACGCGACATAAGGTGCTCTAGCACTCACAGCGTGTCCCCCAGGCCGTTACCTCCCTGGTCAGAGACAGTCACGGCTCCCTGCCTGTCGGGAAGGACTGCTCACCCCGGTGGCACCCACGTGGTCAGCGTTGTGCTGCGGAGTCCTTCAGCGTGGTCCTGCAGAGACCGTGGCCCTTCAGTGTCTGAGAGCTGGCGGAAGTGATCTGAAAGCAAGCCAGTCAGAGCGGTAAGGAAACCAGGGCGGTACCAGACTGCAGAGGAGGGGCCAGGAACCGCATGGTTCCTGAGCGCCCCAATCCTGGGAGGAAGACACCCAATGGGAGAACAATGCGTATGAGTTAAGGAGCCCAAATTAGGCCAGTCCCAAACAGCCACTTCTCCTTTGTCCTCGGGAGATGCCACCTGCCCTGCTCCAATCCTGAGGCTCAGGTGTGACCTGCCCATCAGAGCCCCTGC